ACAATCATAAGTTTAGAATTTTTAACTTTGACAAAATCTCATTGTCGAAATCAATATTCATAAATCCATTGTATACACACAAAATCAGAGATGGGAATTAAAAAGTGAAATTTCACAAGGTAATTAACAGAAAATGCAGAGCTGGGAGTATATTTGAAATGAGGTTACTTTACCATTGTACCAATGGCATTAGCCTGCCAAAATTTTTTTAAAATAAACATTGCTCTAGTGCCCATAAAGACGGAGGATTTAAGTTACTGTCGATCTGTCCAAACTGGGGTCCGCGGGGTCGATATGCTCATTTTCTCTTTCGAGAATACCTTTGCGAGAAGTGTTGTCTCAATTGACCACCATGCAAGATGCTTATTTACATTAACATTTAAATTTGAACGAATATCCAGGTCCAGCAAACTTTTTAAGGGTGGAAATACATAAAGCTGGCTATTGGCTGGCTTCTTCGAAGATGAACAAAAAAGTTTTAGACGAGCTTAATGATCTGAAATTTGCAGTGAAAAGGAAAGCCAGATAGACACTATCACACACTCACCACTATGCGACGCGTTTCGCCGTTGGTTAAGCGGCTCATCAGGCATATTTGGTGTGGATGATGTCTTACAAGGGCCGTTCTCTGGAAAGTAGTATATATTTCGAACTTATTGCAAATTAGCATATGCGAATTATACACTAGAAACTCTCCAGGTTCGACTCTAGTTCTATTGGCAGATCTTTTTTCACAGCAAAGTTTTTGTTTTTTGTAGTGATGGATTTTTTGTCCACAACAACTACATTGCTTCCAATGCATACACTTGTTTTAGTGCTACTTTAGGAAGACGGGTTAATGGCTCTGTACGTAGAGACGGCAACTTCTAGTTGGCTGCACACCGAGGTCCGCGGTTCAAATCCCACAGCTGGGCTCGGCTGAATTTTTTAGTTTTGCCTTATTAAAGCGAAGATCATATGTTTTATGATTTATGTGTTTGATTTCTCTTTCGAGACGAGCTTATTGATCTGAAATTTGCAGTGAAAAGGAAAGCCAGATAGACACTATCACACACTCACCACTATGCGGCTCATCAGGCATATTTGGTGTGGATGATGGCTTACAAGGGCCGTTCTCTGGAAAGTAGTATATATTTCGAACTTATTGCAAATTGGTGTGGATGATGGCTTACAAGGGCCGTTCTCTGGAAAGTAGTATATATTTCGAACTTATTGCAAATTAGCATATGCGAATTATACACTAGAAACTCTCCAGGTTCGACTCTAGTACTATTGGCAGATCTTTTTTCACAGCAAAGTTTTTGTTTTTTGTAGTGATGGGTTTTTTGTCCACAACAACTACATTGCTTCCAATGCATACACTTGTTTTAGTGCTACTTTAGGAAGACGGGTTAATGGCGCGGACCTCGGTGTGCAGCCAACTAGAAGTTGCCGTCTCTACGTTCAGAGCCATTAACCCGTCTTCCTAAAGTAGCACTAAAACAAGTGTATTCATTGGAAGCAATGTGGTTGTTGTGGACAAAAAATCCATCACTACAAAAAACAAAAACTTTGCTGTGAAAAAAGATCTGCCAATAGAACTAGAGTCGAACCTGGAGAGTTTCTAGTGTATAATTCGCATATGCTAATTTGCAATAAGTTCGAAATATATACTACTTTCCAGAGAACGGCCCTTGTAAGCCATCATCCACACCAAATATGCCTGATGACCCGCGTAACCAACGGCGAAACGCGTCACATAGTGGTGAGTGTGTGATAGTGTCTATCTGGCTTTCCTTTTCACTGCAAGTTTCAGATCATTAAGATCGTCTCGAAAGAGAAATCAAACACATAAAACATAAAACATATGATTTTCGCCTTAATAAGGCAAAACTCAAAAAGTTTTAGGTTACTTAGTTCGATTTTGGCCCTAGGCTCATTTGTTCACTTTCGAAGAAGTCAGCCGATGACTTAAGCCAGCTTAAGGTCGTCATTGGAAGAAAGATAGGCTAATGTGTGAGTAGGTTTCCCAGCTTTGGGAATATATGTCGACGTTACTTCTTTCCACAGACTGGGTACAAAACACAACATATGACAAGCCTTAAACATCTCCTGCAGGACAGCCAACATTGACTCAGATGCATTTTGTAAGTGGAGAAGTGGGTGCCAGTTTAGAGGTAGAAATCTTTAGACGAGAGATAGTCCATGTACCATCATCTCGTTGTATACTGTTGTTGGGTTGGGATTCTTATACAGTATTTTATGAAATCTGGCGCCATTATCTACCTCGCTTGGCTTTTTTTAACTCATTTTTGTACTTTTTAAGTCTGCTTTATTGGCGCTCCAATCAGTGCTAAGTTCTGTTTTGCCAGACCTGCTGTAAGACCTTCTTGTTGTTTTCCTAAGAATTGCAAGGTCTTCAGTCCACCTGGCTAGGATTTCCTCCCAGAGAAGGCTATTGGACAAGAAGGTTTCCTTTAAGATTTTTTTCCGGTAACGCATTTAGCCACCTGGAAGTATATCATCTTGTGGCCTGAGAAAGAACACTTTTTCGATACCCTCCAATTGCTAAAAGTAGAGTTATCCATATTGGATAGGGTGATGTCAATGACTTACCCTCTTACACTATTTTGAAATATGGGAGTGCTACCCTTATTGCATATTCTAAGATTATTGTTGAGAATAAAATTGAATTTTGACCTACCTTTGACAATCGAGTCGCTGCCCAGTTGAAGTGATGGACGTTTGCGTCACATCCAAGGATGATATCGCACGTATATTTCTGTGGTGGGTCCGGGTCTTGAGTATATAAGTATTAGTTTACCACTACTTCTACCTCTCTAGGCTACCAATTTGACTATGAAATTGAAAAATTGAACAGTTTGGATCATATTTTTGAGAGAAAATCAAGGCATTTCAGTAATTTCTCTGTCTTTCTGACAGGAAGCGGGCATAGCCGTAGGGCTATATTTCTGTAGTTTTACGAAGCTTTTCTACCTCCTTATTGTACCATGGGTTCCTGCAAGAATATATACGTTTTGGTATGTTCCAGAACGGTAAGAATGTAAAAGTTTTTACTACGATTACCGATTTTCCCTTTATGATATCGAAGAAAATGGCAAAACTAGTGGCTTTTTTTGACATCATAAAGTGAACATCGGCTGTCATAGTAAAACCTTTTACTTTCTTGCAGTTGTGGTACACATTAGAGGCCTGCAAAGAGTATGAAAAATTCAATCATACTCTGTTCCTTACATGATTTTTGTTGATGCAGTCGTTTGGTATAATCTGAATGAAATGGTCATTTTCGCATCGGATCGAATCGAACGCTCAGTTTCAATCACTTCACTCACAATCAAACATGAGTGTTCGAGAGCGTTTGATGTGTTCAGCAACATGAGTTGATCGAACATGTGAATTGAAGTGAGCAATCACAACAGTGATTTCTTTCCTTCAATCGAGTTCGCTCAGCATCATTGTTTATTTAACCATTCAATCAAGTTATGTGGCGTTTCCACTGCACTTGATTCGCTCTCTATTCGTTGTTTGACCCTTAACTATGAAAAAACTACTTAATTCTTCACACAAAATTTCCTGAGCGAACACTCATATTTGTACATTGTTCAAATCAAATCACTCTCAGAACAACGAAAAAATATGTCCCATCCCTAACAAATGAGAGCATTTATCGAAAAAATTAATTATGACATTTAAAAATTGAAAATAGAAAAATTTAATGAAATTTTGAAAAATTTTGGGAAGACTGAAATTTATGAATGAAAACTACAATGTAGAATAGCGTATGTACATTCAAACGAAAGTAAATTTTGTTTTCTCTCTCATCCGAGGTACGCATTTTGTCCACGGGTTGAAATTGCCACAGAAAACAGGAAACAAAAGACGCAATATTTTCAAAATGTTTGTATCAACAGAAAAAATGTTTGACAAGTGTCTCTCCAGCAGAATTTAAAAATAGAAAAATACAAAAATATGTTCAAAATGTCAACATTCACACAAAAAGTTGGAAACGTGAATGAAAATTATAAAATTAATGTTTTAATAAATCTTTGGGAGAAAAATAATCATTTCTTCTATCCATATTAGTGAGAATTTCATGTATTTTAGTATAAACTCCTATTAAAATCAACAAACAAAATTTTGAAAAAAAGGAATTTCTTTACTATGAATTACGAATCGTGCCGTATGAACGGGTTAATTCGTGTACCTAATTCTGAGAGCGAACAACGTTGTTCGGTTTCCAATGGAAACATGCTATTAGGACAGTTTATTTTGACTTTTATAATATTTGAAATGGAAGAATATTGTGATAGTGTGACCGAAACTGTTTCAAGTAGAAAATACACAGTGTGTAGGTAAGCGAAAAATCTTGACCAATATTGTAAAATAAAAAAATATTTAAATTAAATACCTCTAATGTGTTTCTTTATTAAAAATATTATTTTTTTTTAGAAATAAGTCACTGAAGTCTAACATACCAAAAAGCCAAATAAAATTAACAAATTGTCCGTTTATTAAATATAATTTGTACAAATTTTATTAATGGGGCATATTTTAGTTATGAAATCCTTAGTAAAATTACAATCATGATTTCGCTCAGATTCGAACACTTGTGTTTTAATCAAATCACTAACTTAAATATGAAGAATCAAACCGATCAGACTCATCATAGATGATCACGCCGTTATGAACAATTCAACATAAGTTCGTAAACAATTCGTAAGCAATCACTGATTTTGAAAATATTTTATTTTTTTTTTTTCAAAACGATAAATACATACACAAAATTGGCAAAAGTCTGGCACACTTAGAAAAAAATTATAATCAGCTGGTAGCTTAACTTTTTATTGTAGCATGGAACAGACCATGTATTTCCTTATCATTATTTTTATCGTAGAAAAATGAAAAGTCGAAAACATCGAAATCCGATTGTAACCATAGGTAAAAGCCGATTCGATTATTCCACACCACAAATCGATTAATCGAGCAATCAAAAGCCAATGTCGACTTACGTATCCCTAATCGACATTTTGCAGTCAGTTCACATTTCTGATTGAATATATTTATTATTTTCGAAAGAATAGAAATAAACGTGTTTGTAACTGCTGTTTTCATAAAAAAGCACAAAAGAAAATGTAAAGTTTTTATGCAAGATATGAGAAAATTGCCAAAAGCATTTGCCTTACAAATCGTCTTGGAAATTGTGTAACCATAGAACATAGCGTTCTGCCAAAACATCAAACGTAGTTAATATTGAAACGAAATCGTATTGCTGAAGAAATATTTGTTGCGATAGGTGATAAAATATACTTCAATCCTACCAAAAACACAGTTTAAGTTAATTTGAAGGGCCATATAAATATATTGATAAAAAAAATATGTGCGTGTGCTTTTCTTAAAACCATATACACATATATGTGTGTGTCATTTGTTCGAGTGTGATTGAATTTTCAATCGACGAGGTACTCAGGTGATAAAATGAAATCGAAAAAAATAGGAAATATTTTTCGATCTGTTCTTTGAGTATATCAATTTATTCTGTGCCTGGAATTGCTATAAAATGAAATCTACAAATTAGCGAATTAAAGTTTGAAAAAAAGATAAAAAATAGTGAATGTAAAAAAAATAAGTGTACTTGCAACAAGAGAAGTAAGAAAAAACATTTTTTTTTTCAAAACAAACAAAGCCTTGTTCCCAGTATACACACAAACACACACACCACCATCTCCAGAATTCAATCCAAACCAAAATAAAAGAAGCTAATAAACAAGGCGAGACACACATAAGTATATACCTACATACATGTGTTGAACATACGTGTGTTCTTGTTGGAAAACGCGCGCACGTTGTGATTTCTCTCTAAAGTTTAAACGTTGGAAGAAGAATCGAAAAGCATGCAAACCCCAAAGGAAGAAGAAAAGAAAAACAAAACAAAGGAGAAGTTGTAGTTTTCTTTCCCAATTTTGTTTTATCAAATTCCAATGCGAAGTGCGACACAAAAGTAAATAATCATCATCAGCACAAAATTAACATTTCAATTTGCACATTTGGACAAGACGAAGGCCTGACAAACAATCGGGGGAAAAAACGAAGAAAACGCGCACAATTACAACGAACGACAGTAATATTCTAATAAACACTACTGACCACAAACAGTAAAGTCATCCAATCTAATCGAGCTGTTTGAAACACAACCTCCGCCAGCACCGGACCAACAATGACAACAACATCTAAGGTGACTTTTTCCCCCTCTCAATTTTCTATTCCTAAATGCAAAGGAAATGCATTGGTCTATGATTTGTTTTGTTTCTGCTTAATTATTTTGAAGTGGACATCGGAATATGCAACAAAGCGCGGGGTCCCTTGCAATCTTCAAATTATCTAGTAATTTGTTTGTTTTCTTTTTTGCACTGCGTTCGCTTTGCTTTTGCCATGCGCAAGTCGACCACATGATGTTGTATGTGCTATTGGTCTGGTGCGAATCATTTTATTGGATAGTAGAACCTTCATTATGTACATACTTACTGATTCCAGGTACTACATCAAAAACTGTCATATATCATCTCAACAAGCTTATCAAACGAACGCAGCTGGCTCGAAAAGTTCCTATGTAATAAAATAAACCTGGCGACCTATGTATTTGTATCTTTTACAAATATCTAGCTACCTATTTGAACAAATAGTTGTTCGCCGACATTGAAAAACGAAAAACCAAGTCTGCAGTTTAACTCCACCTAGTCGTTTATGTGCAGTGTTATAAAAAAATTGAACAATATAACGAAGAACAAACTGTGACATCAGTCAGCGCAATAGGGCGAAATGATACAATATCCATTTTTAATTGCAATTTCCTCAACCATTGTGGCCGCTGCAAGAAGGTTCGACTTGCAAAAGAAAAAATACTTAGAGATATACTCAGTCCAAATACGGACATAACATCACACTGTGATTAGAACTTTCATTGGAAAGAAACTATTTTCAGTTGTAAATAAGTTTTTATTCTGGATGCGTAGAAGAAATTAAAATTGAATGAAAATCAAAATGTTTTTAAAAAAACAACAACAATGGGATTAAGATTAACTATTTTGCAACAACAGTATGTACCTATGTTTAATGTTGGTGGATGGGAGTCAGGGAGATCATCACATTATAACTATTTCCAGCCGACATTAATATTCACAAAATTAAGGTTTTGCTCTATCTGATTCGATCTAGCCCAAATTGGGCAGACTCTTTTATGGTCAGATCTCGAAATATGATTAAAAAGAACAATCAAATTAGTCAAACGTTGTATGGCTGATGCATAATTTATATAAAAAATAGGGAAAAATATAAAAGCTAATCTGTCATAGTCATTTCAAGGCTATACCTGATATCATAAAATTTGTGTAAAACATAAATCTACTTGTATTCTTTGTTATGACATATTACCATGTACCACAATGTGGCGTGGATCAGCTCGAGTTTAATATAATATAACAAATTCTATTACTGCTTAAAATATAAATTTATTGTCCATACTTCGATCGTATTTGATGCTTCAAAAAATCTTATTAAGGATATATAGAATTGCCATTACACCTTGAGACTGCATCCTAATATACTCTCTATGTAGATTTGTTCGTACGAAATATCATGTAAAGCCTACAAATACTTACTCTTGTCATATTTACCTGAAACCGTTTCAGATTTATGTGTAGGACTCCTACATAATTTCCCTCTCATTTATATCAATCATCCAAATCTCCATGAAATGGAGTCTTCAAATAACTCTTTGAAACTAGGTTGAATATATCCGTAAATAGATTACGCCACCATGCCCCAACTACGCTTTTTCGATTCTGGGTTCTTATTTATTTTTTGGCAGACAGTACCTCTGATAGGTCCCTAGTATGATGTCATGTTGTAGGATTTGTCCGATTTTTTTACTTCCCTTACATGACTACGTTTCCTTGTGCGGGAATTTACTGTATTCTTTACATGCTACGTATACGTGTTTATAACTCTTTGCTAAATGCTTGAAATCGGTTCTTTTTTCCCTGCCAAACTTGGCTTTGTTCTTTCTACTATCCATTATCTATATGATGATCTACTTCGGGTTTTAAATCGATGCCTTCGAATTAAAGTAAAAAAGACATCACAGAAGACATCATTTATAACAACAAATAGTTAAAAATAGGTCTGGCGACAGATCATACACCAATTATAGCCTGTGCTGCATGCGCTAAGCGGTGTAGTGTACATTATAGATTAGCACCTCCTACCTATCTACCTTTAGTGCTAAGAATACAAAACAAAAAAGTTCGCCGGTCCTAACAATTTTCATTCGTTGTGCTAATTAAACCATCTGAATTCTGCTTCCGTTTTTAGATTTTAGACTGATGAAAGCAAAGCGAAATTATACGAAGTGATCAGTGTGAAAAGATATTAATTTAAAGAGAAAACGTGAATATGAGTAGTTTCGCAAATGAGAATGTAAGCGAAAGCAAACAAGGAATACAGCAACTAGAACAAGAACATAAAAGTAACAGCAATGCAAAGCCACCAACAATAACACCAACAAGCAGCAATACAATCGACGATAATAGTGTTAAAAAGACTAACGAAAATACAATCGAAAGCGAAAATAAAACAGCAACAATAAGCAAATTGACAACAACAACAACTCCAACAGGTCATTTCAATAAGAACGATGAGAAAAACAATGCACATCAACTTAAAAACGAACATGAATTTATTAATAAATCCTCAAATGCAAATCAAAATGAAAACGCCGCAGTACAACAATCCCCGATTTTGTTGTCATCGGCAGCGTTGTTAACTTCTGATTCATCAATGCCAACAGGTGATACCGAACTACACACCCGAGAACAGGAACGAAAGCAACTGGAACCAGGTACCACAACTGTCACAGAACACACAGCCATCGCTGGGGGTGGGATAAGTAAATTAAGACATCGACAGCGAAGTGAGTATGACCCCGTGTATCAAACCACGCCATCAATTATTTCAACTGGATTATCAGCACCACCGACGACAGCGGCAGTATCATCACCCTTGCCGTTGGGCCTAAGTTCCAATTTGGTTACCCATTTGCCGCACATCTCTAGCGAACCAACTTTTGGAGTACAATTGCGTGAAAAGCAGCATCAAGAACGGCTCAACGAAGAAAAACTTGAAAAAGAATCGGCCGACAGCACTGTGCCATACCATAGCAGCGCAATAAAATCCGGTACTGTGAGTGCTACCGCCTCACCAAACATGGTGCGAAAATCATCGGATGGCTCCGTGTCTCTTCCCCGTCGAGTATCATTTCCCAAAAGCGACAACGAACTAGTTACTGGTTATTTGGAACCAGCGAATCCTTGGGAACACGGTAAGTTTATTTAACTATTTATTGAGATATATAATGTATAGATTAGTTCAGTGGTAGCTAATGTTCTATGGATAAAGAGTCATTTCCTCCCAGAACATATTTCCGACAAAGAACTGTGAGTCTAGAAAATAAGTGCTATTTATAAAATTATAGCAAATGCAAATAAGTGGATTTGGAATATTATAAACTGAATTAATCATTTCAATGAACATCGAAAATAATTGTTTTGCTCATTATAAATTTATATGTACATTCAAAATGGTACTTTTTTGTCTAATAAATTTCTAAAAATGGGTTCATAGATTTTGTAGCTTTGTATATTTCTTAAAGTTTTTACCACTATCAGTTCACATAATTTCAAATAGTACCAAATGTGCATTTTAATACTTATGGTATGGTTATACGCAGTGTTCAAATTTTGAAAAACTCTTTAGTCTGCCTATCCTATATAACATCAAAAACACCCCCTCCAAATTTCAGATTTCCAGCTCTATTCCTTCCCCAAATACTAAAGTTAGCACAATTTCGTACTTTTTAGTATGTATTTCCATTTAGTACCTTTTAGTATGTATTATCAAAACCACCTCTAAATTTCAAACCTACACACAGCGATCCTAATGCCAAATTGAAATTGAAGTACGATTCAATCAATACGTTTCGTGCACATAAGTACACATTTCTAAAACAACCCCCATATCCCAATATTGCACTCCGACAGTAATTTTATTTCCAAATTTCAGAATACCAGCTCATTGGTTCAACCAAATCCAAATTGTACTAAATTTAGTACACAAAAGTACGAATTTTCAAAACTACGTACCAACCTCAGGCCTACAATGCAATAGTAATCTTATTTCCCAATTTCAGTACCAAATTAAGTGCAATTTAGTACTTATCGTGCACATAACTACAAACTACGTTGATATTCGAAAACTATCTCAATCCTACTCTCGGCCAGTGTTATCAATTTCAAATTTCAGGATTCCAACTGCAACCGGGTCTCCAAATTCGAATTGTGGTAATTTAGTACATTTTCATAAACTACCTCTATACGTCGACGTTACTTTTCAACCTTGATTCCCATTCCAAAATCCAAGTTTTTAGCTCTAACCGTACCTTTTAATACCGTTCTAGTATGAATTTCCAAAAATTCAGCCTTATCTGACACGTTTGGTCCAAGAGCCGTTTCGTCTGGGCGTTGATTAATCATTAAATCAGTCAGTCTATTACTTTACTCTCTTATTAATATTGATAAGTAATAGAATTTTCAAATTTAACATGCCCCAATCCTAGACTCAAAATTTCCAAAACTACTTCCATACCTGATTCAAACAATTCCATAGAAATCCTGTTTCCAAATTTCAGAATTCCAGCTCTATCGGTTCGCCACAATTACGTTTTTTTTTTTACAAATATTGGTATTAGTTAGTACACATTTCTACATACAATCAATACCATAAAAATAGTATTTCCCAATATCAGGATTTGGTTTACCAAATCCAAATTGTTCCAAATTTAGTACAATTCAATACACATTAAACGAAATAATAATAAAATTCAATACACACGAATTTCGAAAACTTCCTACACACCACAATTCTACACTCCCACAGTAAACCCAATTTCTGGATTCCATCCCTATCCCCATATAAGTACGAATTTCCAGAGCTTCCTATATGACTCAGTCCTACACTTCCACAATAATCCCAATTCCAAACTTAGAATTCCATCCTTATTGTTTCGCCTAAATACAAATTGTACCATATTTAGTACCATATAGTACAGATAAGTATGAATTTCCAAAACTTCCTACATAACCCAATTCTACACTCCAACAGTAATCTTAATTCCAATTTCGGCTCTCCTAAATCCAAATTGTATTAAACTTTGTACATATAAGTACAAATTTCCAAAACTACCTAGAAACCTCAGTCGCACAATGCTATATTAAACTTATTTCCAAATTTCAAGATTCCAACTCTATTGGTTCTCCCAAAATTTAGTACAATTTATTACACATGAGTACGTACATACCTCAGTCCTAGAATGCAATAGCAATCTTATTTCTAAATTCCAACTCTATTGGTTTACCCAAATCGAAATTGCATCAAATTTAGTACCATTTAGTACTTATCGTGCACATGGGTACAATTTTCGACTGCCAATCTTACACTCCGCGAATAATGTTAATTTCTAATTTCAGGAGTCCCGCTCCGTCCAGCACCGTTTAGTACTTTTCGTATACATGAGTACACACTCCCAAAGCCAGCTCCTTACGTCGACTCTACTCTTCAACCTTGATTTCCATACCAAATTTCAAGTTTTAAGATCTTGACAGTCAACAGAATACGAAATGGTAGTATATTTTAGTACTTTTCGTACATATATAGAGCGAATTTCCAGAAATCCTTTGGCACATTTATCATACACTCTACCCTCATTCCAAATTCTATATGCCCCCACCTTAGGAAACACCCAGTTTCACTCTACTTCTTGTTCCGGAATTACACGTACCACTGGCGTCCACACCTATAGTTGATTATACAACTGTATCAAATAAGTTAAATCTGTTCTTATATGTGTGTATGGTGTGCAATGCTGCTGGCGGAATCTGTCTGGATATTTTCTCTAATGCTGGGGTAAAGCCCCAAGAATCTTCGCAACTGGTCACCAAACGAAATTGGCCTGTACGACTCCAATTTGCTGTCATCCTTGGATTCAGTAGAGGGTTCACCCATTTTACGATTCTTTGTTGATATATTAACTTCTCTCAGGAAATATACAATACAGGTACATGGAACAATTAAATTACATGTTTAAAATGCATCAAGATACAATCACAGGAGATTTGGTATTATTCCAAATTCATTTGCAAAAAAGTACTTTTACAATTTGGGATTGAGCAATATTGCCCTTCTACCTTCAATTGAATCAATTTTGTGAAATAACCCCTATACTTCACTCATGTTTTGCGGATTTCGCCAATATAAGAATTTTGTGAAAGAAATTCTAAAATAAAATGGGCCGATTAGTTAATGCTTTAAAATTAGATAATGTTAGGTTACAGGGTTCGGCAGCTGCTTCAGTCGGTTATCATATGATAGGAAGATATAAATCGAGATAGAATGAAGGGATAGAAAAAATCTTGTAATATGAAGGTCATGAAAAGCTTAACTTGAAAGAAAGTCTGGCTGGTATTACAATTTACGTGCCAGCAACCCAACGGAACGTGTTACCGGTCTCTTAGCGTTCTTATGTACAACACATTTGTAAAACTTTCGAACAAATAAAAATATGTTCAACATGATCCCGGCTCGGATTAGATCCTACGTCATTCGCGCTCACATAGTCTGCAGTATTCATAATCACTGTTATCCCATCGTGAGGTCAGATATTTGATACTGCAGTGGTCAATCAATATGCCCTCCGTGATTCTTAGATCAGCCCTACTAATTGATAGAAGGTAGAAGGCTCTTCTGCTCGAGATTTCTTGCTAAATCATCTTAGATAGCTTGCAACTGGTTTCCAAGTGCCATCTTCTTCGGTGAGAACCTTTTAGAAACGGGGAATTTAATAGCTTATTAGTGGTTTGACAGCCTTGTCGATATGTAGATCTATCGACTGAAATAACCTCCAACTACTTAGTCAGCCATTTCATTACCTACTTTATTACTATGTTTTGGGTCCCAACAAAGCTTAATGAATTCGCGTATTTCAAGTTGATAGATGTGAGGGCAGCCTGACTATCGACATATATAGTCACTGGTTCTGTTATGCTATTACAAAGTTCTCTTACCATTACAATGAAGTCGAAAGAGGTAGATAATCTGTGATCACTAATTGTATCACCTTCACCTGAGATATTGCAAGTTTTAGGTATGTCCAGAAATTGTTCATGACCAAAACGGTTCCCGTAGTCTCAGCGCACTTCTTCCTGCTTGAAACTGAACCAATAGATCCAATGGCTGAATGTTTAACGTCACGTTGATTGCAGTATGAGGAGTTCTTTGGAGAGCTCTAGATATCAGTTAGAACGCACTGTGGTTAATTTGGACATGGGCGACCTAGATTTTGTCGCTTGCCACCACACAACTCAGACAACTGTGACGTACATCCAATTCACGACTTGTGGTCGAAACCCCCAGTTCTTCGCTATAGCGTTGCATAAGTGTATAGAGCGCAGTAAAACATTTTTTCGTGTGCTCCCTATGTTTCTGTCCCAGTTTAACCGTTGGTCCAGAATCGACAGAAATATTTGGAAAGGTTGGAAAACCACAACGTCATCGGCATATGCATCTTTCTTTACTTTTAGCTGTTAGAAACTCACTAGCGTTTCATTTATTGCCAGCAGCCAAAGCAGGAGGAAGAGAATTCTACATTAACTCTTCGGAACAACTTGGCCAAGTAGTATCACCCGTTTAGTGTCATCAGTGGAACTGTAAGTAAAGTAAACGGTTTGCTACGTTTTGGTAAATATTGTTAAATATTTGGAATTATTGGTCATCCTATAAAAGTTGAAGGTTCTTCTGTTTGATTGCATTTGTTTTATCAATAAAATGTTATCAAAAGTGTGTCATTTGGTTTGTTCCTTCTCTGTGCGCCATTGCGATTGCTTTGTGCGCTGTTCCGTACTATGAATGAACACCGATGACGTACTCTGAGATGACAGACACACTGTCTCCCATTGTTGCTATAGTCAAATATTTCACATGGTGGACACTCTGCTAATACATGTCAGTGTATGTGGAAAATATCATATGTACATGTCTATACGTATGTAAATATTTATGGACATGTCGTCTTTATGACGTACAATTGTTTTTAGGCATCATGGGTGCGCTTTTTCACACAAACTGTTGAGTTTGTTTAAAGAACCTCCTTTTTGTTTTTGTATTTATGTAGGTTTGAGTATCATTCAAATATACACATGCACACACACACACACAGATTTGCATTTACATGAGGAATATTTCTGTATACATTCATATATTGTCATTTGG